ATTATGGTATTGAAATTCACCTCAGCAGTGGATAACAGGAAAAGCAAAGGAAGAAAGCTGAGTCTCACACCTGGTCATTTCTCTCTAGACAGCAGCTATAATAATAATGATTTATTTTGGGACAAGTGTCATTTTGTGGGAGGGAAAAATGAAGTAAGAAATACAGAGAGTGAAAACAAAATTCAAGTCATTTAGCTTTATGACTAAAGCCTCAAAGACGTACAAACGTAATGGTGAATTCAGGTCACCATTACAGTCACAACATTCAGACCATGTTTTCTTTCAAAACTTGTGGTATTCAAGAACATTGCCAACTAAAATCATGGATTATTATTTATCATCTCAGTATCAAGAAAATGTGACAAAACAGGGAAAAAATGCTCTTACATCCCTTAGAAAATTTAAAATAGGTGACAACCTTGGTAATGAAACCAAAAATAACACTTGGTAAGAAAGTGAACTAAATTAAGCCTCCAAGAAAAAGGAAAAAGCCACCAGCATTCTTTTCAAGTAAAGAACTTAGCTACTCTGGGGCACAGTTCCTTACTTAGACAATTCCCTGGCATTAGACTACAGCTGTGTACCTACTGTCATGCTGATACAATGCCACTTGAAATATATTTGGCTAGCATATTTTCTGTATGAACATAGAGAAATTAAGTATTTGAAAATATGTAGCACCTCATTTTTCCCATTAACTCTTTTAAATTTTCCCATTGCATAAAAAGGAAAATACTGGTATGCCCAATTTTTATTCTGCATTTGTTTAGTGTAAAGCACTTCATGGGAAAAGTAGTTTAAAGAATCTTTTGCATAAAAATACTCCAATTAAAATATTTCAATCAATTGAACAGATTCACAACTCCACATTTACATTTACATAGTCTGCTATGGAATTCACTATACTTTGAAAAATGGACAAGAAACAGATCTCAAAGGAGAGAGGGTAAGAAAAAATTTGTCATCTTTCTCCTCCTGGTGTTCTCTTCCTTCTCCCTTTTCCATCACTATGCATTTCAATTGGGAATGTAACACTTTTCCCATCTTTATGTACCCAAAAATGAAGAAGTACCTTCTGGTTTTCCTGTATTACTTACTCTAGTTTACCCGAATTACTTTTTCATTATGGCACAATTAAAAATTTAGTATCTCTATTTCAAGATACGTGTCAGGTGTCCAACTGCAGGCACTCTGGCTTCTGGAACAGGAAGTTTGCCCATGTTAAATGCCCATCACAACAAAGGATGATTCAGAAACTCTGCCATTAATGCTCAGTCTCCCCTTTTCACTGACTTACAAGAAGTTTGAAATAGGTTCAGGTAAGCACAGGTCATGAACTTTGAATGAACATGGTGGTCATGGCATATAATTGTTTTTGTTTCTGTGCAGCACAGAACTACCTCAATCTTGGCACAGGTGAGTGCATAGATTCACTGAGATTCACTGAGTATTTCAGCCTGGCCTGAACAGCAGTTTCTGAGTGTGCTGAACAAACATTTGTATTTCAACCTCCTTTGAAAGGAAAATTAATTCAAAACAAGATGAGGACAACCAAACACCTTCAATGGCTCCAGAGCAAATGTTCAACTTTCATACAAGGAGACTAGTTAAAAAACCCATATACTTCAAAGGTTCAAAGCCACATGTTCAACCCCTCAGGAAGTACCTTCAAAGAAATATTTTTCCTGTTTAACTTCTCTAAGTGCCAGAAACCAGTATGTGTCCCAATCCTGTGCCCTCCCCAAAGCCCCAACTTCACTTTATCAACTAAGTATTAAAGCACTTCCCTCCAAAGCAAGCTTGTATTCCAGACTCTGCTCCAATTGTCTTTTAACAAAGAGCCCACAAACACCCAAACAAAGGCTGAGTCCTGGGATGTTTGGGGGAGATAAATGTCCTCTGAATCTTTACACTAAACTGTACTTCCCTTTTGCTCTTCCCACCTTTACATGAAGTTCTTTGCTAAACCAGGCACAACATCCCAACAGAAAGCACAGAAAACACATGTCACAGAAAATCCAGCCTGCATTATGGTGGTCAGGTTAACAGAGAGATTTTAATCCTCTGAGACTATGAAGGATACTTAAAACAGTAGCTGCTATATTCAAAGCAGGTATTGCAGTCAACTTTTTTTTTTTTTTACATGGATTTTATTCCACGGTCAGAGAGAAGTTGCATAAAGTCATAGATGACTACAATCTCACAGACACCAACACAATTCTGTTACCTTAAATATTAATCATAAACAGCTCCCACAGCATGGAACTTACCTCCCTGTTTTGACTTTCAACTTTCTCAAGTTGATAGTTTCCATGGCCATAACTATTTCTAAGCCTGGGAATATCTATAAGCAATGATTCTACTAAAAAGGAGATACCCAAAAATTACATAACAGGAAGTTCTGGTATTTCCTCTCCCATCCCCAAACATCTCCAATTATCTCAGAGCATACAGCTTTCAAGAACATCAGCAGAAAGAAAATGGTTTTCCTTATCAGAGCAAACTGCAGACTACTCTAAACTGCTGTAGTGAAACTGATGACATTAATGCCATCTATTTGTGCAGGGAGATCAAAATGGAGGATAAGGAAATACTGACTTAAACCACTGCTAAAAAGAACTGTAGATATACTCTTTCAGTACATGTGATATAAACCTACAGTGTGCTTAACTAACTTAATTTAAAAAGGTCAAAGCCAAGCAAAAAAGTTTGTCAAGTTAAAAAACAAATCCACTCTACTACTCTGCAGCATTCTGCACTGATTTAACTTGCAGCCCGTTTAAATCAGGTCTCCAAGGCTTCATGCTAGCAGGTGCACACAGAGCTGCCCAACCTCAGGCAGACTTAGATCTGACGTAGATCCCTGACTAGTGCACTACAGAGGCATTAGTGGGGCACTGCATCTTTTATAAACTTGGCCACTCAGAGCAGGTACTCACGTGTTCAGTTTCAGTATCACTTTAAGGCTGCAACATTGCTTCCTAGTCAGGAGCGAGATACACAGGCATGTCACAAATTCATTTTTTAACCAACTTAAAATAAGCCAGCTCTGTTTCTTTGACAATGTAAGGCCTTATGTATTTATCTGTGCACAGTTTTATACCTTTCCAGTTTTCTCTTTTTTTATCTTTATTTTTCCCTATTAAATGACCAATGACACAGTTCAAAAGAGATGCAAAGAATGGTCATCTTTTGAGACAGAGCTATTTGAGAAAAAAGGGAAAAAAAAATCAAACTGGGGAAGACAGAGAATGATGGGACACTACATATTCTGTCAGTGCCTTGACAGGCAGCTATCTGCTCCTTTTACCTTTTATTTCTTTCTCTGCTCCTTCATAACACGCAGTGTCTCAATTTTTTTAAGTCTCTCCTTAAATCCTGCGGAATCGCAATTTTCCCTTTCCTCAGCCTCTAAAGAGCATCTTAAAGAACACTCTAATAAAGGTATACTGTTTAAGGTTGACACCAGGATTACTTCCACATTTCTTCATTGGCTGCAGGAATATTTCCATGACTACCCTGCCTTCTTTAAAAATTACTCTTTTTCTGCAATCTGTGTTTCACTCGAAGTCTTAATCCTCAGTGATGACTACTGTATCCACATGGTCATGATGTAATGAAGAAAAGCAACCACTTCTGGAGAGAAAAAAACATTACAAACCTTCCAAGAAGTCTCTTAATAATCTCAAATAATTTATCGGTAAAATGTCTGCCCACATTTCAAATTATCTCAAAACACAAGGCATTTCAAGAAAAGATAATGCATTCTTCATTAACAACAACACTCCTGGGCCTTTCCAATTCCATGTTTAAAGCCATTACCTTCACTAAGAAAGGGTTTATATCACACCTTTTTGGCTGAAGAGAGCTTAGGGGAAATTAAGATTTACATTACATTACTTACTGAAATCTATCCAAAATAATTTCACAGTCCTATAATGAAAAAGTGAACAAAACTTCCATATAGTTGAACACACAACTTGAAGCTTTTAAACCAGGTGCAAAAACATATGCAACTGTCAGTATGAGTGTTCAAATACAATACAGAGATACAGCACACATGAACACCACGAACATCACGGATGTCTGACACGTCTATTTATTAGGCACATTTACTCTGCAATGCCACCGATTACAGGCACTTTTAGTAAGCGTGGTACTTGTGAGATGAGACCTTACCTTCTACCAAAATTCTATACACGCAAAGTATCTTTGCATCAATATTCAGGGCAACAGCGTGTCGGGGGTTTGACATACACTCACCTGCATTCGGTTAACCTGTTTGATCTCTTCCCTGGCCCGACAGCTAATTTAAATAATGAATTTTTTATCATGATGCAGGTAAATGAAGTTAAACCAGATAAACCAGGTTTTACACTAAAAGGTCTTTCAGCTTCAGCAGTGGCAGTACTCATCCCAGAGACAAGCCAAACCCAGGTCCGGGTGCAGGCTCGCTCCGCTGCAGATCCCGCAGCCGGGGCCGTGCAATGCCCACAGCCTCCCGCAGCCGGAGCCGGTGACACGGCAGCACCGGGGCCGTACAGTGCCCACAGCCTCCCGCAGCCGGAGCCGGTGACACGGCAGCACCGGGGCCGTACAGTGCCCACAGCCTCCCGCAGCCGGAGCCGGTGACACGGCAGCACCGGGGCCGTACAGTGCCCACAGCCTCCCGCAGCCCGGCTCCCGAACCGCGCGGAGGCTGCGGCGCGTCCTCGCCAGCCGCCCCCAGGCACCTACAGCCACCGCAGGCAGCCCAGCTGCCCTCACACCGGCCAGCGGTGGCGCGGCGGGAGAAAAGCCAGCGGAGAGGGAGGGGGAGGCGGAGAGAAACAAAAAACAAACAAAAAAAAAAAAAAACCAAAAAAAAAAAACCAAAAAAAAAAAAAAAAAAAGGGCGCTGGGGAAAGGGGCAGCCAGATGTTCGGGTATCTCCTCTCGCCGGGCACGGTCACAGACAGGCACCTCGGCAGCTCCTTTGTTCCCCTCCTTCCCGCACTCACCCACGGTAGCCAGGGTCTCCAGGTCCTCCAGCTTGTAGGCAGCGGGCTCGAGCGCGCCGGGCGAGCCGGGACCGGCGGGGCTGGGGGCCGGCACGGCGGGCTGAGGCGCGGCCACTCCCGCCGCCGCCGCCTCGCCGCCGCTCTTCGCCCCCATCTTGGCCTTGGCAGCGCTGAAGGCGTCCATAGGGCCGAGCGGGCGCCCCGCGGCCGCTCAGCGCATGGAGAAGGGCGAGAGGAAGAGGGAGGAGAGGGAGCGACGGGGACGCAAAGTTTCAGTCTTCAGCAGGCGGGGTGGCTGCTCCCCAGGGCTGGAGCCCGCTGCCGCGTCTGAGGGGGCGCGCAGCCCTTCAGCATCGCGGCCACAAGCGCCGCGCCGCCCGCCGGTGCCCGCAGCAGGCAAGGACCGCCGCGCAGACAATGGCGGGGGTGCGCCCAGCCGCGCCACACGCGGGGCGGAGGGCGGGGTTTGCCGCTGCCGCTGCGGCACCGTCCCGCTGAGGGCTGGCGGGGCGGGGAGGGGCCGGGGGAAGCGCGGCCCCGCCGCACAGCGGGAGCGCGGCCCTCGCCCCTCGCCGTGGGCACGGCCCGGAACCGTGTGACAGCCCCGGTGCTCTCTGCTTCTCCTTCCCCACCCTGCGTCCCGCCCGAGGGGCTGCGCAGCTCGGCGGCGGGGTGCAGGGAAGTGCTGGCGGCTGCCGCGCCTGCCCCGCGCTCCCTCAGTGTTGCAGGGACACCTGGGACGGTCCCGTCCGCTCCCCGCAGAAAGTTAAAATTGAGTGGTGGGGCCCCCTCGGCTGCACAGTAACAGCCCTGGGAGGAGCTGGTCTTTCCCCACGCGTGGGAGCTCGCTAGAGTAGCTCCCCCCGCACGTCCCAAAGGGATTGTCACGCCTTATTTTACTCCCCGTTTCCAAGCAGGTGTGGATTCCGCACCGGTCACAGCGCGTCCTCTTCCAGCCTGCAGTGTGTTCGTGGGGCTGGGGCTGGCTGGGGGTAGTGCTGGGCTGCGCTCGGCGAGGCGAGCACACACCCGCCTCATGCAGCAGCAGCAGAGTACCGAATATAGCTCCTTCAGAGCAGCCAAGGAGCTGTTGACGATTATGCTGAAAGACAAGGCAAATTGGTGTGTGAGCCAAATCACTGTAAAGCGTACACATCAAAACTGGGGGGGAAATCCTAATATTTTCCATGCCTTGTTCTGGCCCAATTTTACCCTATTTACAGCTACTGCCCTACGCTCTCGTGAACAGGGTGTCTGCAAAGCTGAGTGTAAATGAAGTCACGGGGGTGGCATTTGGCATCTCCTTTTTATTAAATGTGACATCATGAGAATATAAGGCTTATTAGTTTCTGTGTGGAGTAGGTTCAATAATATTGAGAAATAATTGTGTGTATATTAAATGAGTACAAATAAATAAATTATTAATAAGAGTTACAAATATATGTACATTTATCCTGAATTTTAAGGTATCCTTAGAGTCCAGTTTATAGTCATAATATCAGAGGATATAAAATGCATTTTTATCTTGTAGCTTGTTGACATGAAGGGCTATGACTAACTCAAAAAATCATTAGGTCATCTCTGCTTCCTGTCAGCCTTTGAAAAGTCACCAGTCAAGGAGGATGACATCACTTTTCCTCCAAAATTTCAGATTTCAGCTGTTAACTCTTTGGAATGCAAGTTTTGCCCTTCTATATTGCTTTACTACTTTACTGCTTTACTTCCCTTCCTGCTTCTTTACTGCAAGGTTGACTGAGCACTAGAACAGGTCATCCAGAGAGGTTGTGGAATCTCCCTCACTGGAGATATTCAGAAACCATCTGGATGCAATGCTGTGCCATGTGCTCTAGGATGACCCTGCTTGAGCAGGGAGGTTGAACCAGGTGACCCACTGTGGTCCTTTCCCATCTTACCCAGTCTGTGACTATGTTCTGTACATTCTATACCAGATTTACCATGGTTTAGGCCTTGAATAATCTATTTTGAAGATTCCTTAAACTGGAAATTGTAAGTGTTCTGGCAAGCTGTAAATTTAATTTCTCTTTGGTCAAAAGGCAAGCAAGCCAACAAAGCTCTTTTAACAATGACTGATTTTTTTTTTAAGATAGCAATTTGAAAAATACACATCAAAACATTTTAAAAATCTTAGTATGTCTAAAAATCTAACTTTGTTTTACTAGCCAAATAATTGCAAATTGAGAAAAAAGATATAAGCTGTATTGTGCTAATTATTTTCAAGAGAGAGTTCTTTACCTTATGTCTAGCCAAGAAAATTGATATTTGATCTTCCTGAAACCTTTCCTTTTCGATTAAAACTAAGAAATCATTCACTTCTCAGATGTTAAAAAGGGCATAAAGTATTTTACTTCAGGTATTGATTATCTTCAACTGATATTTCCATTTGTGCTACAAATTTTACCCAAATGTTTAAATTACTTGCATGCAGGACCATAAAACTTTCTTGTAAAGAGCCTCCTACTGCCATGCTTCAGCAGTTGGGGGCCTGTATGACAGCACCCATTCAAAAGAGCTGTGATTCAGCAAGGCTGCTAAGCACAGGATTAGTTCCATTTGATGCAGTGTCTGTTCTTAAGGTTTAAGTTTGCTTCCTTCCTCTGCGTGCAAGGCATTTCCTAGTTGTAGTTGTAACAACATAATTGCAATGTTTATATTTAGAATGTCAACATATTATTAGTGTGCTTTGCCACCTCTCTATAACCATCTGAGAATTTATCTTGCAGATACTGATTATTATCCACAGTACTTCAGGGAAAGAAAATGTCGTTCTTTCTACATACAATGAGGTTGAGAATCAAAGCTCCTAACTTTATAAATTGCAAGTGGAAGTAGAGCTGACCACTAGATTGCAATAGTGGATATGAAACATAGTTTCTTGCTCAATTTGGGCCTAATTCATAGACAAGCCTGCAGCCTTATATTCCTCTTTTCTTTCTTCTTTGCCTTTCACTTAAAATGTCACCTTTTGGTCTCAGGTACTTTTTGAATAATCTTGGCTTTTCCCTTGCTCTCAATAATTCATAGTTTTCAGTTTTTTACTTTCCCCACACATGCATTAGGTGCCTAATGCCAGATTTCTTTATCTTAAAATAAGTTGCCTCCTTTATGTTTCTAGTCCTTTACCTTAGAGGTGCTTACACCAAGGGTTAGTTCTATTTTCATTGTCTCTTAAAATTACCAGATGTTAGAAATTAATCTTTCCAAAGACAATTAAGATCTTTTTAAAAGAGATTTTATTTAGAAAAAGACCCCCCAAAACCAGAGAATAGTAGTATTAATAGCTTTCTCAATTCGTTATTTTAGTGAGGGCTTATTCTTCTATTTCAGTTGCAAAAATTTCTGTGTACTTGTATTCCTTTATAAACTCAAAATTTTCAGGGACCAGAAGGGTTCCAGGTGTACATTTGGTTGTTCCCTGTGGCCTTTCATATATGTGCATTTGCCAAACTTCAGCACATAAAACCACCCTGTTAGTTAAATGTTTATTTGGGTCCTAAATTACTAACTTTCCTCTCATTCCTTCCTTATGGTTTGTAGGTTTTCTTTTAATTTTCCCCCAGGAAACCTTTAGTTAACAACATAAACCAATGGAAAGGATAACAAAACTTGCTACCTATCCATGAGTTGATATAGCAGATCCTTTTTCTTTCATTTTGGGGGAACATTGTGGTACACATTCCGTGCAAGTGGAATATGATTTAAGGACCTAACTCTCTGGGAAAGGAATCAGTCATTTAAATGTCTCCATGGCTGCAGACAAAAGTGTCTTTCCTGTAGTCTGAGGAGGTTTACGTTTGTCTTCCTGAAAGCCGCCTTCTTTCTTCCCTGCAAATATATAATTTTCCTTACAAATCTTGTTAAAGCATATATTTACCATCACCATCACAGTAAAACTACTACAACAAGTTTGCAGGAGAACCTGTTCAAACCTGTAGGGAGGAAATGGAGAAGTCCTTCAGTGGTGGTTATTACTAATAAATAGCTCCATATCATCTCCTTTAGTCACATTACATACGGTGCCTAAAAACGTGGGACTGCTCTGAGGAGGAAGAATAACTAGTAAAGATAATTAGTACTGGTATGTGTTTTTCATTTGTTTTGTTTTGCTAAAGAAGTTCATGATCAGGCAAGTCCTGTGATGTAAACCAGCACCCTTTCGTGCAAAAAATCCCGGCCTGTGACAAAGGAAGGGGGAAATTATTCCACCCATCTGAAGCAGTTCCTTCATAGTATGGAAATAAGCCTATCTGTATAATGAGCAATCACACAGCATGTGAATGTACCTACACCTTCATACAGCAACTATTGCACTTTTATTTGAATATGATTATGTTTAACATTTTTTTAAAAGCATTTAAATTATGATGAGCATAGTGGCAGTATCCAAATGAGAATTTAAACACAAAGAATTTAACGTTGTTGCCTACATCCAAAACCGTGTTTCTGATGAATCTTGCTGAGTTGATTCCTTGCTTCGGAAATGCATTGGTGTAGCCAGTTCAAACATGGAAATGCTGTTACTAGGGTGTCTAGACTTTCTGCCCAGTCTGAGCAAGTTTGTGTCTAGCTTCTGCCAAAACTAGATTGAGATCTGGAAACAAGATGTTGCTTTGCCTACGTTTGCTGAGGAACTTGTTCTGTTAAACATTCTGAAGGTATATCTCACATACATGCAAAACTGTTACCCTCACAAAAGTAAGTTGTGGCAAATTTTTATACAAAAAAAAAATGTTATAAGAACATTGTCTTAGCTGATAGAAGATCCTGAAGCGCCAGCATGCTGGACAAGTTCTTTGAAGTCGGGTGGTGATATTTGCTTCAGTTCAAAGACAGAATAAAGTACCAATGCACTAGGACATCTTTTTGTTCATTCTTTTCCCCAGACAAGTAGTTATGTCCATTGACACTGGCATTATCTCCTTTTGAATACTCTGGATAGTATGCTGCTTATAGCGGTCACCCAGAAAATGGGAAATCCAGAATTTTTGCTCTTAATTGTATGAGAAGAGCTCTCATTCTAGCCTCCCTTCTTTAAGCTACTGAATGCAGTTGTAGGACCTATTCTCCCTTACTGTGCATTACTACTTCACAAATACTCCATATTTACTGTGTCAATGAAAGAATGTGTTTGCTGCATTGCTGTGTGGAATTCTGCAAAAGTTGAATATCAAATATAATTCTTTTCACATTTATTTATACAATTTATGTTATGTAGCTGTAGTGTATTTTTACAAAATTTATCACATTTCTGCAAAAATTAGCATAAAATAATAAATTCCACAAACAAGTAAATTGCTTTGAGCTTTTGAGCATTATTTTGCTTTTTTTCTTCCTAGCAAGATGTGCAATGTGAACTTTA